AAGCCGCGGGGCACGGGGGCAGCGGGCCAGCCCAGACAGGCCGTGGCTGTCCTGCTGCCCGCGGGCTCCACGGCTTTGCTCTGCTTTGCTCCCTGTCTCCCTGGTCTGCAGACCAGGGGGACGGGGAGCAAAGTGGTGGAACACGTGGGCAGCGGACAGCCGCTTTGCTCCCGCTTTGCTCCCAGGGAGACGGGGAGCAAAGCAGAGCAAAGCCAAGGAGCACACGGGCAACGGACAGCCCAGACGCGTCTGGGCTGTCCGCTGCCCGCGTGCTCCGCCGCTTTGCTTCCTCTCCCTGGTCTGCTGGAGACCAGGGAGAGGGCCCCGTTCGTAACTGCGGATCTGACATAAGTCGGATCCGCGTAACTCGGGGACTGCCTGTATATGACTCTACTTCATGGGTGGGGAACCTCAGGCCCAGGAAGCCTGGATCCAGCCCCCAGACGCGTCTGGGCTGTCCGCTGCCCGCGTGCTCCGCCGCTTTGCTTCCTCTCCCTGGTCTGCTGGAGACCAGGGAGAGGGCCCCGTTCGTAACTGCGGATCTGACATAAGTCGGATCCGCGTAACTCGGGGACTGCCTGTATATGACTCTACTTCATGGGTGGGGAACCTCAGGCCCAGGAAGCCTGGATCCAGCCCCTGAGGCTCAGGGCCCATCCTGCATTAGGGAGCCTGTACTGGTGCGGCAGCCCTTCCCCACCATGGGGATGGAGCACACAAAATTTACTAGCCTGGGTCCTCCAGGCTCTGATGTGCAAAGAGAATGTGGGGAGTGTCTTTCTCCTTCTCAGTCAGGTGCCACATCAGTGAGGGGTTTTTGTGTGTATCCCACAACTGATTTTTCTGTGGGTCAGTGGCCCCTGACCTCAAAAAGGCTCCTCACTCCTGCTCTACTTCAAAGCATGGCCTTTCAAAGACAGCCTGTCTTTTTAAACTAAGTTTCAGGTTACCACCGACTCCCTCTCCCTCTGAGAATTTAGCACAGAAATGCTGTTTTTGTAGGTAAAACCTCAGCCAAAATGTTTGTTACTATCCTGTGATATTCACTTGCAGATTAAATGATGCATCCTTTAAGAGAACTGTTTTGTTTATGTGCCTAGCGTTTAGACTGGAAGTCTAAATAATTATATTGTATAAAACAATTCAACCATAAAATGTTCCGCTTAAGTCAGCTCTTTGGAGTCTGTCTGCCAGTCACCTGCATAAAGATCTCTTCTCATGATCTCTAGTGAAGAGATGATAGGCTGGAATGTGCATGCATGCATTTGAAATACAGCTTAATCTTGGAGACTAAAGAGAGTCTTAAAATAAGAGCATCACATATCCCACCACTGCATACCTCTGACCAACACAGGAATACGAACAAAAGTTTGTAGTCTAGACATGGCCTGAGTCTCTTGTTCGGCTAGAACAGAAAAAGAGGTTCATAATCAATGATGAGACAATATAAATCTCAGTGGGGACAGAATTTAGATCTACTATTCAGAAATCCAGAATCTTGATCACTTGAGTTAAATGAGAAAGAGGAATAAGTCTAAATGAATTTCTAGCAAACTGGGAAAGTTTGAGAGACTGAACTACATATCTTTCTTCTAAACAGCGAAGCAAAGGAAAGCACAGTTCCCAGCGAGGAGACATTCTGACTTCAGAGCTTTTCCTGCCTTGTCATGGTATTTCCAAAGAACAAAGAATTGTGCCATTGGTACGCATCAAAGAAACATTTATCAGAAAAACACAGTCCTAGAATTAATTGCATGGCAAAGCTGCAACTCTCAGGGGTTCCCCCATATTTATATCCTATAGTGTCTTCTGTCAGGCTACGTCTATACTGTAGCCTTCCTGTGGAAAAGCATATGCAAATGAAGCGCGGTGTGGAATATCGCTGCTCTTCATTTATATCATTGTGCTTCATTTGCATCAGTAATGAGCAGCCATTTTTGTGCAAGAGGCTTTTGCGCAAAACAGCTGCTCATTACTTATGCAAAAGAAGCATGGCGATATTCCACGCTGTGCTTCATTTGCGTAAGCTTTTCCACAAGAAGGCTACAGTATAGACATAGCCCAGTGTTCAACTTTAGTTGTTACATTGACAATTTAGGTGTCAGACTATGCAGGCTGCATCAGAGCTGTTCAAGGATGAAAAAGAGCAGCCATACTAGGTCACACCAAAGGTCCATCTAGCTCAGTATAGTGTCTTCTGAAAGTGGTCAATGTCAGGTGCTTCAGAGGGAATGAATAGAACAAGTATCCACTCCCTGTCATCCATTCCCAGCTTCTGGCAAACAGAAGGCACCAGGGGAATATCATTAACCATTTCACAGCTGGGGAACTGAGGTTGAGAGGAGAAATGACTTGCCAAGGCCAGACAAAAAGTCAGTATCAGAGCAGAGTTCCTCAACTACAAAAAGGATATTTCTTTCAGACTATTATAATTTACTTTGTCTGGGAAAAGAATCTAGGGATATTAAATATTAAAAGATTATTCAATAATGTCCATGGTGATTTCAGTGCTCTATCAACTTTGTATTCTTCTGATATCCTACATGTACACATTTGCATCTTCAAATAGGCTTCATGCATATGATTTAATTGACAAGTACCTTTGTCCTCAAATGCCAGTAACTTCTCTGCTAGTGGGTCAATTAAATATGTTAGTTATATGGAAATAAACCAATCAAGGTTTTCTAAACAAGCATTAAAGCATTAAACATTTCTCCTCTCTCTCTCTTTTTAAAAAGACTACACAATGGGGCAAACAAAATCCTGGTAGCTATTCTTCTGTTAGTGACATTAAAATGAAGAAATGAAGGTTGTTCTGGTTAAAGAACAATGTCCATGACACTTAACATTATTTAACTATATCTATTGTATGTTCACACCATTTGACACTTTGCTTTGTTTTAAAACAAAGAAGATTACTAAAGAACTGGATTTGCCACCCTCTAACTTCTTAACAATAAGCAATAAGTATCATCATCACCATTATCAGTTATGTTAAAATGTTTTAGTGGGCATGGAAGGAACAAATACTGAAGATTTTCCAGGCAGGCTTATGTCCATCATCATTCCCTGAATACTAATATCCCAATTCAGCTGGCTCCATTTCAAACACAGAAAATTCATCAAGAGGAGCTCAGGCCATGAAAGAAGAAAAGTATAAAGGAAGGAATTAATCCCATTTCCGAGTTTTAAAAATACAGGAGATTTTTTACATTAAAAACAAGTCACAAGACAATCCCCCACAAAAGCCACCAGAAGAGATTTTTTCTTATATCCCAAATGTATGAAAACAAATTCTCCTCTAAACCTCAGAGAGGAATAATGAACAAACCTACTGGGAAGTGATCAGGACTCAAGCACAGACCTATGCTAGATAATTTCTTCACAAACATCTAAATCAGGGCACAGGGAGAAGGAAATGGGCCAGCTACTTCCCCATTTGGTTGTCCAAGAAGACAACGAATGCACCCATGCTAGATATCCTCAGCATCCCTTAATGCCTAACACCTCATCCTGATCCCAGTAACTTCAGCACCACCTGCAGGAGATGAGAATGTGCTGCATTGCACCTTATTGCTTCAGCCCTTCCTGGTAAATTGTAAGTAGAGGAGTTAAAAACAAGTGGCAGTTTCCTACAGGAAAGGTACCTGTTCCTACAAAGATTTTTTGGGAAGGAGAGAGAGAGAAGCACACTTGTAACCATTAACAGGTAAGACTCATCATATAGCCTGGCCTTGTTGATAGTTGTCTCCTTCACAAAGAAGGCTGAGTAATCCACTTGCCTGCTGGAAGACACAGATCAAACAACTCTATTATCTGCTGTCCATGTAGTTATGATATACTCATGCAATCAAGGAAACAAAATAGTCACATCACAACATGTGACTAACAAGTTATAATGTGACAAATTAAAAACATTTTGATGTTTCAAAATTAATCTTGAAAACAATACTGGGAAACGTTTTGAAAATAATTTTTGAGAAAAACAAATATTTCAAAATGTTGACCTGCTGTCCCAAAATATTTCTATTTTGAAAAAGAAAACAAAATACTCCTTTATGCTGAAAAAAGCTTTGCATTCAAAACATGTTGACCAGTCCTTACTTATCAATAGAGATGCAGAGACTAGTCACTGTTGCTCTCTGTGCAACAACCGGCAGAAGCAAGAGGGAGACTGAGGAAGATAAAGGAGCAAAGAAGTGCTACATAATCCCTTCTCTCTAGGGAAAAGGGAAATTTTGCTGTTAGTCTCTTTATCCTCTCTTACTGGGGAAAGATATTGTTAGTGTTACAGCCCTCACAGCGTTGTTAGGTGTGTTAGTCTCTCTGCTCCATCCTCTCCCTCTAGGGCTGTGTCCAGACTCAGGGGTTTTTTCGGGAAAAGTAGCCTTTTTCCGAAAAAACTTCCCCTGCGTCTAGACTGCAGCCGCGTTCTTTCGAAATTAAATCGAAAGAACGCGGCTTTTCTTTCGACGGCGGTAAACCTCATTTCATGAGGAAGAACGCCTTCTTTCGAAAGTGCTTCTTTCGAAAGAAGGCGTTCTTGAATGTAAATAGGGCTTCTTCGAAAGAGAGCATCCAGACTCACTAGGTGCTTTCTTTCGAAAAAGCGGCTTGCTCTTTCGAAAGTTCCGCCTGCAGTCTAGACGCTCTCTTTCGAAAGACGCTCTTTCGAAAGTATCTTTCGAAAGAGCCTCGTTCGAAAGAGGCTTGCAGTCAAGACATAGCCTAGGAGAAGATGGGACAAAGACTTTTAAGCGTGTGTTACAATCCCTGTCTCCATTCATCTACACTTGCAACCCCATGTTCAAAAATTACAAATCCTGATCATAGGCTTATTGTATGTACATGGCTGGTGACAGAATTGCGACTAGCAGGCCAAGCTCTTTATGACTGACTATAGAGGGGTTTTTTTGGTTACTCTAAGGTGCTGCTAGACTATTCGTTGTTTTTAATGGATTTTTATAGAGTTTCTGTCTCACAGAGAGCTACACACTGGCTATGTCCACGGCAAGCTCTTTTTCTGCTCGGGCAGCTCTGGCTGAGCCCACCCGAAATCAGGCACGACACGGCCAGTGGCCGAACAGCCCCCTACCCGCGAAGTGAAGGGAACGCCCTGCAAGTAAAACGGGTGAGAATTCTGGCGTCTGGACTGAGGAGCTTTCAGGAGTCACTGTCCCCCGCTTGCCTACGAGGGGAGGATCATGTGAGCGTTGGGTGGGGTATGGGGCAGGAGGGCAGGTTGTTACAGCTGCTGTGAGGGCAGGAGGTGACTCTGGAAGTCGGATCGAGTAGGGAATGCTACGCTGTGTCTAGTCGGGCACATGCCCCAGCCCTGCGTGTTCAGGCAGGATTAGCCATGGATAGTCCAGTGCCCTACCCCCTTTTTTATCTCCTCATTCTTTGTGCCTGGTTTGTGGCAAGAGTCCCTAAGGCTGAGACTTTGTTTTGAAGATTAATCTCTAATTCACTGATTGAAGAAATAGCTGTAGGATGTGGGTAGGAATGCTGATCGCTTGAGACCCTAGGGCTTTCCAGACACATCAGTGCAGTTGCTGGTACTGTCCCTGGAGAGCCAGGGCCAAGTTTATTCCCAGAATAAAGGGCTTTTGATTTCAGTGAGAGACACATTTGCTTATGCCAGACCAGAACTTGGTCTTGCATAGCTTTCAAACTGTGGTTGCATTACACAAGGAAAGGCAGCATCCTCAGTTTTTCAAAGGGAGCAATGAAGGGGAAACTGTATTAAGTGTTGCTCAGAAATCATGGGACGTGCAAAAAAATTGTTTTAAACAAGTACAGTACCACAGATTGAACTTCTCTAGTCTGACACCCTGGGGATCTAACTAATGCTGAAGCAAAGAATTTGCTGAACCATGGTATGTCAATATTGTCCAGCGGCATCACCAATACTTCCACTGCTTCCTGGGCTCTTAGAAGACATTTAGGGGTAAATTAGAGGTAAATAACAGCACAGAACACTGAGAGGACTGGTGGCTGTAAACAAACTTTATGGGACTGTGGGTATCTTGGCTACACCCATGAAAAGTGGACATCCAGCTAACTAAAATCATGTCAATCATAAATATTGCTAGGCCAAAGAGTGCTGGACTAGAGGGGTTAAATCTTTATAGGCATATTATTATTAAAAAAGCAAGGAACAGCTTTCAATCCTAGATTCTTGCATAGTGCCAGTAGGCACTTTTAAGTTGTTGCCACATGTGACTCCAGAGCAGAAATGGCTGCATTCGTGTCATTTGCAAATGTATACTTTTTTTGTAAATGATATATGGATACTTTGAGCTGAAAGATGCAATAGAAATATAAGAGAGTTTTTGAATTGTCTTCCAGATGCAGTTGTGAAATACAGATCCCTGCAGTAAGAGGTACCGAGCCATCATGGGGAACCAGCTGGCTGGCATTGCCCCGTCTCAAATCCTGTCTGTTGACAGCTATTTCTCAGATATCCATGACTTTGAATATGACAAAAGCCTGGGGAGTACTCGTTTTTTTAAAGTTGCTCGGGCCAAACACAGAGAAGGCCTAGTGGTTGTGAAGGTGTTTGCAATTCAGGATCCAACTTTACCATTAACTAGCTACAAGCAAGAGCTGGAAGAGTTAAAGATAAGGCTATACTCTGCACAGAATTGTCTTCCCTTTCAGAAGGCCACTTTGTCTGAAAAAGCAGCCATGCTCTTCAGACAGTAT